CAGATAGTTTATAGAGATGTCCAAACTATCTGTGGGCTTCTTAAATGGAAGGTGGTTGCCCACGCCCCCAGAAAGCACATCAGCTTGTGGACAGCCCCAGAGGTCAAGAAGAGATAGATGATTTTCAGAGCCACACATCCAGACAGTCACAGAATGAGGACTAAAATTCATGAGTCCTGAGTCCTTGTCTTCTCTCTAACAACAAAGTTATCTAGTCTCTTTTTCTGAGTAATTGCTTTCATCTAATAATTTTTTAAAAAGCCACAGGGAATGCTCTTACAGGACAAAGGAGGACCTACCCACTTAAATATTAATCTCTGAGCCACCCTGGTGACATGGGAATTTGTTAAAATGCTCTGGCGGGAGAGTGCCAAGAAGTTAATTAAAATTGCTGTCATACCTTTAGGCTACTGCAGAGTTCAGGGTCTCCTGAAGGCCAGTCTCGTAAGGAGAGGTTCTGTGCTGATAAAAATAGGTCTGGCCTTCTTTACAGAATCACAAAGGGCAGTGTGTTCTCTGGTTAGAAATACAGCAGCTTGATTAAAAACTGCAGAGCAGTAACTTCCAAGGGGAAGAATGAAAAACAAAGAGGAATGTGAACCCATCCAGATGTATAAAATTCTGAAAAATAAGCTCAGATATTGTTTTAAAATGCACTATTGGCATTTCTACTGGGTGTCGAGTAAGGGGTCCATGTCTTTAACCCGAGAAAGTGGAGAGAGTGGAAAGAGGATCAACTTGGGGGTAAACAGACCAGAATCAAAACCTTGGCTCTGCCACTCAGTTCCTTAGAGAAGGCTACTTAACCTCTATGAGTGTCAGTTCTCCATCCATAAAGCAGGGGTACTTGTGAAGAGCATGGCTTGGGATAACCAAGTCAGTCCCTTTGATTTTCCCTCAGTGGAGAGGAGCTTTCTTTTCCACTTATTTATATCTAACCTTTACAAGAATGAAGGAGACCTGGGAATTGACAGGGAAGGGACTCTAGCATCACCCTCTTAGAATCAAGTGCTTTAAAAGAGGTGGTGTGTGTGTGTGTGTGTGTGTGTGTGTGTGTGTGTGTGTGTTGAGCACCCAGTAGAGTCTAGAACTAACAAACGGAAAACCAAGGCTTAGGGAGTGATGAAAAGCTTAACAATTATTGCAGGTCTCTGGATTTCTTTTGCATTCTTACGTTTAACAGCCTCAACAGGTGTGCTAAGATGTGCTGTGAATTACCTGCGAGGAATGAAGCCACAGCTGAGTGAAGTTTAGTTCAGGCCCAGTTTCCAGAGCAAGCATTTGTGTGCTCATCACAGTCAATCTGACAGGCAAAGCTTTGGGGATAAAAATGAAAACTGTTTTATGATTCAAGAACTACAGGTCACAAGCTTAACATCTGGCTGTGATTGTGAGGGCCATATTGTGATCTGGGAGCACAGTGAGTCCCAGCCTCTTTTTGCCAGGATCTAGCAAAGCCCCATGATCCCTTGCTATAGCATAGCTTCCATGGACTTGCCAGAACTCCCAGAGGATGTCAACCCACATCTGTGCAGATAGTGAAGGAATTTACCTCTAAGGTCCTAAGTAGATTTAGAACATTCCCTGATGAGCCTGAGGGTACAGTTCCTGCATCCTCAGAAGCCTCGCTCACCATGGTGACATCATCAGAGCCTTGGCCATCCAAGATCAGCAGATCATAACGGGAGTAGTCTGTGCATTTTGTGGATGCCGGCAATGCCAGCCCTAAAGCACGGCTGGGGCTTAAGGAAAGTAGGCCAGTAGTCCATCCAGTGGAATTTAATCTGGGGTGGCCAGTGTGTGACCTCTGCCCTTCCCATTCACTCACAATCACTGTGTTCTTTCCCTGTGGCTGGATTGAAGTCTTCCCAGGCTCCAGTAACTGACCAAGTTCACATTCAAACTGAATGCTATTTGCCATCCCCGGTAAAGGCAGCTTCTGGAGAATGACTACAAATCAAAGAGGGTGAGTCAGCAGTTGGAAAATTAGAAAGGAGCATTGGGGCCATTGGCCATATTCTCAGCGACAGCTTTTCAATCTTGGGCTCCACTCAGTAAAGCATAAATGCCATTCTATGTGACACTGGATTCACCACAAAACTTAGTTTTGGGGTTTTTTTTTTTTCATTTTTTCAGGTTATCTTATCCCCCCTTTTCTACAAGAACCATAATTGCCTTAGTAAACAACCTAACTCTAAAAATTGCTTAGTTGTCATCCTTAATAATACCCCTTCCCTTCCCCCTACCCCTCCATCTAATTTACCAGCAGGTCTTGTCAATTCCATCTCAAAAATAAGTCCTCTCCAGCTTCGTCTCCCCCTTCTTGATCCAGGCTGCAGTTGTGTTGCCTGGAGTCCCGAAACACCCTCTTTCTAACTGGTTTCCTCACCTCCACTCTTGGCTTCTTCCAGTCCGTGCTCTATCCAGTCCAACCCTGACATTCTTAAAGTAGAAACCAGGCCACGTGACTGCTCTTCTCTAAACACTTTCACTGCTTTCCATCACTAGAACAAAACCCCGCTTTCTTGCTGCCGTCAGCAAGCTGGCTGTCTGGTCCATCTCACCTGCTCCGCTGCGCCTGCTCTCTCCACTCCAGCCCCTCCTCGGCCTCCTCTCAGTTCCTGTTGGCAGAGAGACCCCAGGAGAGGGCCTGAGGGAGACCCATTAGTAACCCAAGTCCTTACACACAGCAGGAAGTATTTCACAATACTTACATGCTGATGGGGAAAAAATAGGCAATAGAGATAGAAAATTATCTTATCTGATAGCCAACCAATTTGTTTTCCTCCATGGAAGCTTCAATAAGGCACAATCTAACAGGTTTTAGAACGGTTGCCTATGGAGAGGAAATATATTGGCTAGCCAAGTTCCCAGTATGCAATGGGGCACCCTGAGCATCTTCAAGCCTTGGTGATTGCCCTGCAGCAAGAACTTCCTCTCCTTCTGGTCAAAGGAGAGGGCCTAGAGAAATGAAAATAATTCAATTTTAATAAGTTCTTGGTCAGTAGAGCTATTTGCATTTAAAGGTAGTCATTTTTGAAGCAGTCCTTTCAGAACTCCAGTTAGAGATTTAAAACATACTCGAACATAAATGGGAAAGCTTTCATTTGAGATGTAAAACCACACTGGGGTTAGTAACAATGTTGTTCAAGCCGTCAAATAAATACTCTGTAGTGCTCAGTTCATAGCACATTCCACGTGATACCTGGGTTAGTTTGGGTTAATAGCCCCTTTAATTATTCTAATGAGGCTTAGTTGCTTACCAAGCCATATTCACATTCCATTTAGCCTATTTTACTACTGCATATATTTTTATAAGCTCCCTAAAATTGGTGCTCACGGAGTTCTGTCCAGGGAAGATGAATTTATCTTTGTGACTCTGAATTCATGTACTTGTCCCACAGAGTTATGAGCACCGTGTTCCAGGGCTAACTACTGAGGACAATACAGGAAAACAACCGAGTTTCCACCTTACAAGGCTCTTTGATCCAGTTAGGGGTGAACAGGTGGCTGGGATGCAGCGTAGTGGTCAGGAAAGGGGTTAAAGCCGTGTGATGTTCAAGGCAGGCTTCCAGGAGGGTTGTGTTGTAGCCGAGTCACAAGGGAGGGTCAGCAGGAGCCAGGCAGAGGAGTGGAGGACCTCAGCAGAGGAGACAGCCTGAGCAAAGCCCTGGGGGCAGTGAGGGGGCAGTGACTGGGCAGCATGAGCCTCCCACATGCACCGCCTTCCATTGGATCACTGATCTTTGACCCTGTGGCCTCCTGAGTCTTCAGGATCCCAGGTTCCTGTTCATCTTTAGCTCAGGCAGCTGAGGCTTCTCTGTGCAGTATACCTTTGTCATTCTTGGATTTAAGTTTCAAATGGGAAGTCTTTCAAAGGCGACAACAACAACTAAAAGTTAATGTACTTTTTATGTTGCTGAGGATAAATTCACATCAGAATGATATGAAGTAAAAATGTACAGCCAGCGTGATTCAAATGAAACATATATTTTTTTTATTTTTAGAGAGGGAAGGGAGAGAGATAGAGAGAGAGAGAGAGAAACATCAAAGTGCGGTTGCTGGGGGTTATGGCCTGCAACCCAGGCATGTACCCTGGCTGGGAATCGAACCTGGGATACTTTGGTTCCCAGCCCGCGCTCCATCCACTGAGCTACGCCAGCCAGAACTAAATGAAACATATTTTAATAACTGTATCAAATTACTTAAATCCTGGATTTATGAAAACATTAAGGGCTTGAAAGAGTGTTTATTTTTTTACTTGTACTTTAGTGCATTTTATTAGAATACGCTTCACAAGGGCAAGAACTCTGGTCTGTTTTGCTTCTTTGATGTTGTTTCCCAAGTGCCTAGAACAGTGCGGGGCACATAGTAGGCGTTCAGTAAATACTTGTTGAAAGATGGAGAAATGGCATTCTATGTAAGTTTCCCACATCTTGGACTCTTGACTACCAAGGGTCCATGGTGCTCCAAAGAAGGAGGGTAGGGCTCCCTAGGAGGTGGAAACAAAAAACACATTGTTACGATGGGTCTGTGGAGCCTATTGTAAAGCTCTCTTTTTTTGTAAATGCTGTCTATATATGGCACATGGACATTTTTAGTTTACAATCCCAGCTGTTCTGTAAATTCACATTCTATGCAAAGCTCTGTCTTGTAGGACTGGGGGCATTTGCCCTCGATTATTATTCAAAACGCAGACACAGGTGTGCTAATGTCCCTGGGCCTCCCAAGGGTCAGACTGGTTGTCGCTGAGAAACTCCATATTCCAAGGCCTGGTCCTCCCGAGCCCACTGGTCTGCTGCTCCAGGTTGGGACATGAGAGGCATTGTACCAAGAGCCCCAGGGTCCCTGGATGCCCCACACAGCCATCCTCTGAGGTCCTGATGTCACTGGAATGGGACCTCAAGTGGGTCTGCCTCGGGCCGGCCTGTAGTATGTGTGTTCTTGACTTTGCAGGAAAGATTTCACAACGGGAGTCCAAGTGATTTTGAGGGTACATTTATTAAAACTGGGGATGATGAAACAAAGGAAGGGCTTAGGATAGAAGAACAAGCAGCAGGAGAGATCCTAGGTGGGGCTGCTCTGGCTGCCTAAAAACGTCAGAAGAGAGGGGGCCTCGGAGACACGTTCAGGAGCTAAGCCCTGAAACAAGCTGCCACTCACTGTGTGCTGCTCCCCTGGTCGCAAGCCTCGGGGAGACCCTCAGAGTTTAGGAGAAAGTACATGCAGAGAAAGAAAAGGTGTGGGCATGCTCCAGAGAGAGCCTGCCTGCGCCGGAGACAGCCTGCACTGTCCTGGAAGCTTCTTGTCTCTTTTGCAGCCAGGAACCCTGGTGGGGGGGGGGGGGGCGTCCCAGGGGAGAGTCTCAGCAGAGTAGTCATCAGTGTTCCAGGTGTGTTTTTAACAACATGTAGATGTAGCAAATGAGTGCATACAGGGACCAGCCTCATGTTCTGGTCAGCTTTGCCTCGGTCTCAGATTTGTTTGATTGTTTTTATTGTTGTTGTTGTTATTTATTCCTCTGACTCTCTCAGTCCTTGGGTTTGCCTGGCATGAATGGCACTGACTGGGTCTCTGTTTTCTACCTCCCTGACCAAGGTAATTCAAGCTATTTACTCGCTGGTTAGAGAGGAAAGGTACAAACCATTTGCTCTCCACCTGTCCTCAGTTTGGGGAAGATAAGATGTTGCAATTTACTGGCTGGCTGTAAATTTGCTCTCATCATTTTCTCTCTCTAGTCTCTGGCTACAGGCAAGTGGGTAGAGGTGGGACAGAGAGAACAGGAAGAGAAAAAACAAATTGTCTCAATACATTATTCTGCCCCACATGGAGTGGTGCGGCTGTTCCAATCGCTTCATTCACAAGCCAATTAAGGAAATAACCTTAAGAGAAGCCCAAGGAAATGTTTTTAAGTAAAAATGTTTTTTAAAAGAGAGAATCCGAAGGACTGGAGGCTAAGCGCTCAAATTTGGCAACATTGGCTCGCCCTCCCTGGCGGGAAATAGAAAGCGGGAACCTGGGGCACCCGCTCCCGCTCTGAGCTGACTCTGCCTGGAACGCGGCGAGGCTTTGTTCTCGCCAGAATACGTTTGAATCCTAACTGAACTTTTCCCCCTTCTGGGCAAATTTTTCTGGTGCGTGAACCCTTCAACCTTCTGTCAGTCTGAGGCTTTTTTCCATTCTCACTCCAAACCCCTAGGAAGCTTTTCAGAAACTTCAAAAGTCAGGCACTCAGACACTGCTTTGGTGGTTGGAATATAAATGTTCAAGAGTCTCGACATCTTCTACGGGGATCTTTAAAGAAGACTTCAAAGAAACGGCTCTCCTGCTTTGAGATTTTCCCACATAAGTAATAAATAAAAATAATTGCCCCTTTCTGTACATCTCTGATCTCACCCAGAGGGACGGGTTTATAAAACAGGCCTGAGAGATTGCCAGGGCGTGTACGCACGGGTGTAACCCCACAGGCCCGGGCAGGAGCTCCAATGGTGTCCGGGACCACCTCACCTCTTCCGAAAGGCGAGTGTCACTTTATATGAACACTGCCACTTGGGAGTCAGGCTTCACCAGGCAGGGGAGGAGGGTAGGTTATCATTATCCTTTTATGAGTACCAAATGAGTTGGCATCTTCCTCTATTTTAAAGAGCATTTTGATCCCACATTGTGTATAGAACAGAGGATCACGTTGGAGTTAAAAGGAAAGACTTAGAAGTGAGCTAGTTCCCACCCTTCCATTTCAGATAAGGAAACACAATGGAGGATTGGAGCTGCTGTACTGTATCTACACCCAGGGAAAGGAAGCAAGCATTCCGAGTCTGAAATCATACCTGGAAAAAATGTAGTCCAGTTACTGGCCCGAAGTAAGAGTTACATATGTGTTAGCTGCTAAGGCGCCAACTGCAGCTCCCCGGCCCAGAACAGCGGCCCTCAATCCCAGCTGCCAGTCAGGATCCTCTGGGATGTTTTTCAAAACACTCAAGCTCAGGCCCAGCTGCCGACATTCAGGGTCAGCTGGTCTGGGGTGGGGTCCAGTTTCGGCATGGTTGAAGCAAGCAGGTGTAGATGATGCTGACGGGCAGCCAAGGTTGAAACCTACTGGCCTAGTTGTCGAGGGAGAAAGTCGGAAACCTTGAATCCTCATTACTGGCTAAGTAGCAGGCAGATGATAAAGGAAGAGAGAGAGAGGGCAGTGGGGGAATTTAAAATACTATAGTAAGGTGTTTGGTTTTTTTAAAGTTTGAAAATAACACCTTTTTTGCATAGCAAGTGTGTGGTTGCTACATACAAAAGACAAATAATAACAACCAACCTAATGGAGATGGAGCAATTAGTAAGGCTTCGTTATAGTCTTATTAACACAAGGTTCTCATCTGTCTGTGTGGCTGGAAAACCCATTGCCACAGCTGGAAGACAGGAAAGCACACCTGGATTAACAAGGGGCCAGTTGTTTAATGGGGAAATCCAGTTAACAGAAAGAGACAGAGGGTGGACAACAGACAGGACTTCAAACAATACTGCATAGTGTCACGGATTAGCTCTTACACGGTTGGTCTGTTTTCCTTATGATTTTTGTTCCAGTACAAAGATGGAGAAGAGACTTCAATTAAAAAAATAAATAAGGCAACAGAAGAAGAATCTTCCTGTGACACGGAACAGCCACAAAAACAAACAGTTGGTGCTGCCAGGAGACACCATTAGGACAAGTTCTGAAGATGCTGTATTGAAATTTAACAAGCATGATAGAATGACAAGAAAATTATACTCACTTTGTTATGAATTCTTTTGCAAATAGAAATGACTCTCAGGTAAGTGTTATATACAAACTTGCTGAAATAAATGGCAACCAAACAAAGTTTTCCATTGCAATTTCCTTTTTTTTCTAAGCCTAGAAATGTTCCATGGCACTGCTCCCTATTTCTCACAGTCAAAGCATAAATAGTCATTAAAGCACTTGAATCCACAGTAGTCTTGTCCTAAGAAAGGTATGGAGGTTTTGCATGATTTTCTATCAGTCATCCAGAAAGGGCTGGCAGGCAACAGGTTGGAATGTGAAAGACTGCTTTGTGCTTGGGATCCTGATGCGAACTCTGCTCTGTTCCCCGCCGGAGTTGTCCTCACTGTGGACGGGCCACTGAGCAGTGAACTTGAGTGTGGACACTCATACCGTGGAGTCCCTGCCAGACTTTAGATGTGCAATCTTGGTCCGGCTAATGAATGGATAGGCGATGCAGAGACCTCCAGCTGCCACGATAAAGCCTAAACTGCACCAGGCGCAAAAGATAGACCAGCTGTAGCCGTGTTCCACGTCATTGGGCAGGCTATAAATTAGCTTCGGGAGGCGGTTCAAATCATAGGAGATGCTGGCGGCGTAAGTGCAGAGGGAAATGGTGCAAAATATCCCTATAAATAATAAAAAGAGAGCAGAATGATCATTACAGTTTTGCCTGCTACAAGGCAAATGCCACAGAGGCCTTTGTGAAAATCAGATGAACCGACGAGGCGATCACTTCAAATTAATAAAGGATCTACAACTTTTTGATTTGAATTACTTCATTCAACAAAGATTGGCAAGACCAGACCATAGGCTAGGCACTGGAGATCCAGGAGCGAAGAACCCAGGGGAAAATTCTAATAGCTTGAATTATTCAGAATTATCTTGCTTGAATGATATGTATATTTAAATTTGTATTTGACTTTTATTATTAAAAGCAACTTAATATCGATTCTAATTACTTTCAAGGACAAAACTCTTCTTTAGCACTCAAACCTAATGTAAAAGTCTTCACTCCCCCTTGCTCTCTACCTGATCAGCCACATTTTTGTCTAGTTGCAATCATCATACAAAATCTGCTTTCTTTTTCAGTTACCATGAGCATTAGTCATCGTGTTGCCTGTAAATAATACTTTAAATGATTTTTTTCCAAATTCTAAATCATTTTTTAAGCCACAGAGTCTGGCACTTACTGAAGCCTCAACAAATCATGTGGGGTTTTTTTTTAAGATTTAATTTATTTTAGAGAGAGGGGGAAAGAGGGAAAAAGAGAGGGAGAGAAACGTCGATGTGAGAGAGAAACATTGGTTGGTTGCCTCTCATACACACCCCGACGGGGACTGAACCCACAACCGAGGCATCTGCCCTGATGGGGAACTGAACCGACAACCTTTTGCTCTGCAGGACGATGCCCAACCAACTGAGACACACTGGTCAGGGCTGCTGGGGTTTTTTTTCCCCCTTGATGAATGAATAAAAGGTTTTAAATAATATAAACTAAATCCAGGAAGTTGGAGATGATATAAAAATAGCTGAATAAGGCGATCATATACTTCAGCATTCAGAATATAGGCATTTGGGTTGACATAAATGGACAGACCCAAAATTTTACTTGTTTATACCAACAAACATATGTATAACTGTCCTTCCACTAAAATCGGACTCCAATACAAATCCCCCAAACAAAGGCTTTTTAGTACTTAAGTGATGCTCCAAGTATGGAGATGCTCCTGGTCCATTACAATGGACCCCCAAGGATGCTCCTTTTGGATGGGCAGGGGATCAGAATGCGGCCCTTGCTGAGCTGAAGATGGGTAATGAAAGCAGAAACTGGCCCCAGTGACGTAAGGGAATGCCCAGTTCTAGTCCAAGTCCTACACATCTCTTCCTCCTCCTTTGGCTCATCCCTTGTGTACAGTGGGGGCTGCGCCATCTGCTGGAAAATTGTTTTGGTAACCTTAGGGGTCTGTGCAGCCTCTCCATAGGAAATAGAGACACAGATTTGGTAACTGAAAAGAAAGAGGCTAAAACTAAGATACTTCCTCTTTTTAAATGGAGCTTTTGGGGATCAGAAACACAATCAGAAACAAACTCAGAACAGGCAGCAACTGGGAAGAAATAAAGATCTGAATGCAATTTTTTAGGTGCTAGAATTCTGCCTCCACTCAAATCACGTAAAAGCACATAGCCTGAATCCTTTCCCAAATGTTCATTTAGAAAAGAAATGTTTTCAATTAAAAGAATGCTTGATCTGAGATAATTTGATATTTCCTCCTCTGCCTAATTGTTTTTAAACTCTAAAATGATTGCTTTTCTACAAAGGATGAGAGCTCGTCTTCCAATTCCTTGCTCCAGAATATAATGGCAAACATATCACTTTGAGTTCTCTAAAGAAAGACTGTGATAGGAAGAATTCTTTCATAAAGGAATGAACCAGGCAAAAAAAGAATACTCCGCTCTTTTCAAATCTTGTCAAGAGCAAATGTTCTTACATCTACATGAATGTTTTTGCTGGCACCAAAACAAAGACAGTGTTTATATATAACAAGGTCCTTCTAACAAATTCTGGAAAGAGAACAATAAAGGAATTAGAAAATAATTGAACTTTGGAGTATCAACAGGCACAATATAATAATAGAAAAGACACTCCATTCTACCTTTAACTGTCTGCACCCAACTGAATGCCTAAAAGCAAGGCTTTTTACAAGTACTGTGGTTTTAATGACCTCTGAAAGCTCGAGTTCAAACTCAGACTTTTAAGCATCCTTTGATGTCCAAATGCATTAGGCTGAGGTGCAGGAAATGCAATTCTGGTTCCCCATCTACTACTAATCACTGTGCGACCTTGAAATTACCTAGCTTTGCTGAGCCTTTGTTTCTTCATCTAGGAAAAGGAAAGCTCAGAACTTGGTTACTAAAGTCTCTTATGGTGTCAATTTTCTGTGATTCAGTTACTCCAAAATATGGCATAAAGCAAGAACAGGTCCCAAAATGTCCTAGTGAATCCAGTACCTGGTAACATGCAACTAAATAAAAAATAGATTGTCATGGATTTTTCTTTCTCTATATACTCCCTTTGATATTTATACTAAATGTTGATTTTATTAGCACCGCTCCCCTGCCAACTCCATAAAATTGCTTTTGGTGAAATGAAGTTCAGTACGACACCTCCAGCTCACCCTGAATAGAAAGGGATTGTAAGAAATGATCTAACCTGAGGATTTAACCGGAGACTGATTTTCTCTGCCCTCGGTGTCGTGAGCAGTCGAGCTTTCCTTGGGCTCTTGGTCTGTGGTTGCTTCAGGGACACTGTGAATGACGTCACTAATGAAATGCCTTTCTTGGACCAAGTGGCCCGAAAGCTGAAACTCCGTAGAACTCAATCAGCGGCCCACCAGGAGCAAAAGTCAGAGACTTCACAGCATGCTTTTTTGCTACTAAGCTCACCCTTGAATCCATCTCACCTTGCAAACCTGATCCCTTATCTGATTTTTATGACTTACTTGCATTTATTTTATCATGAAATAATATACGTAGTTCTGCACCACTTAAGTTCTTCCAGGAATAGGGCATTCACCAAACCTTGATGAAAACCTGCTGTACTTTCTGAGGTCTTTACCCCCTCAGCTGGAAGTGGCAGAAAGGGTTACTATGAACCCACAAATACACACCCATCTGCCCTTCCCCAGACCCACAAATGCCCCCACTGGCTACTAGTGGCATTTTTTTCCTCTTTCCAAAATGTCCTTGAAGTTCTGAGAGGAAAGCCAAGATTAACAGAAGAGCATATCTAAGAGTCCCTCCTTTTCAGAGGCTCACATCTCTAAAAAGGTCGCAACTATATAGCTGCCACCACTATTATTTGTGGGATGGGCAGGACTGTTTCTGATCATTACAAGTGCACTGAGAGTAGAAAAAGCACGGTTTCCAAAGCTTTTGCAAAAGAGACCTGACCTATGAAAGATATTTCAAAAAGGTAAAAATAAAACCACCTAGCTTCAAAGACACCATGAACGAGTGCTGTTTAAGTGATGAAAACACTTGTGCTGTGCCTGGATTGTTTGTCTTAGGCCAGCTTTCACACCGTGGAACCCATCTTGGTTGTGTACGCACATCTCACGGTGCTCACGAGTCCCGGTTTGCTGGGGCTGCCATAACGGAGTACCACAGATGGGGGAGGGGAAGCCAAAGCAGCAGCAGTTCATTCCCTACTAACCTGGAGGGGAGGAGTCTGAGACGAGGCCTCTCTCCTAGGCTCAGGTTTGGCCATCTTCTCCCTGTGCTGCCTGCAGTCCCTCCTCTGTGACCAGGTCCAAACTGCCTGTTACAAGGACCCTGGCCATGGTGGATTAGGGCCCACCCTGGGACCTCATTTTAACTTCATTACCTTTTTCAAGACCCTCTCTCCAAATAGTCACCTTCTGAAGTACTAGGGGTTAGAACTTCAACATATGGGTTTTGAGGACACACAATTCAGCCCATAACATCACGTGTACTTGCACACACAGGTGTGTGGTCACGTATGAAGTGTACATGGTCCAGCAGAAGTAATGCCCTCTTGAGTGTGGTTGGTAGGTTAATGATACGGGTGTAATAACTTGGAGTTTTAATTTGAACATTTCACCTACATACAATGTCATATGGTGTGCCTGAGTGTGATATGTTACAGAATTATATGCCTATAATTTTGTAATAAAAGATTTGATAATGAAAAGGAGGTGTTTTTTTATGTGGGCCCTGTACAGATAACCCTTTTATAGGCCTAAGCAAAATTTTGCCATTTAAAATGTTATTTAATCAGTTATTCTAGAATTATTTATCAATCATCTACTATGTCCAAGATCAGTTCTGATTATCTTAGAGGTAGCTTAGTTGAATTAGTTCCTGTGGTCACAGCCATAATTGGTACCAGGTCGCTGTGATCAGGAACCCCAAGGGTTCTCTCCCCTCCACTTTCCAGCACGCATCTCAGGGAAAAGCGCAGAGACCTCCCAGATGCTCCATGAGTTTACCACGGAGTCTAACACAGCTGAGCACGTGGAGCCAACAAAACCAGCTGAACAACACTGCGTGCTGCAGGACACTGAGTTCCTCCAGCCTAGGCCCCAGTTCATCCCCAGTTGCCCATGCAGTCTTGCCTATATAGCTAGTGACTTTAAATAATGCTGCATTTTTGTCAGTGGCAATCTAGTTAACGCCGGGTATGGGGTGGGGGTATGAAAAGATAAGGTATTACCACTTCATTCAAAAGTTCTGAATCTAATGGTCCTTCCTGAAAATTCATGAGGACAGAGGTCACCGCTCCATTCTTCTAGTAGGCTTCTCCTTCCCTTTGTTCCCCCCTGACCAACTGGGAGTTACCCGTGGCTGACACTTACACCCGGCAGCCCAGCTGGTGGTGCCCGGGGAGGTGGTTCTTGAGTTCCGAGCTCAGTCCTGGCTATTGCTGGTACCATCTTCAAAAATGTAAATAATTACTGGTTCTGAAAAGCCCTGTATGCAGCTACTTTTCTAATAAAATATTAAAAGGGTTTCTGCTAATATTCTTAATTGGAAAATACCATGATATCACAAAATTATAGGGCTGGAAGGGATATTTTTGGGTCAAGACAGATGAAAAATTATACTG